TGGGAGGGGGGACCGGGATGGGGAATACATGTAAATCCATGGCTAATTCATTTCAATGTATGACAAAAACCACTGCAATGCTGTAAAGTAATTAGCCTCCAACTAGTAAAAATAAATGGGAAAAAAAAAAAGGAATATAAAAAAAGAAAAAAAAAAGACTGCTTTGCCTACTTGGGGTCTCTGTGTTTCCATTAAAACTGTAAAATTTTTGGCTCTAATTCTATGAAAAGTGCCATTGGTAATTTGACAGGGATTGTGTCAAATCTGTAAATTCTTTGGGTAGTATAGTTGTTTTCACAATATTGTTTCTTCTAATCCAAGAACATGGTATATCCCTCACTCTGTCTTGTGTCATCTTTGATTTCTTTTGTCAGTATCTTGTAGTTTTATGATTACAGGTCTTTTGCCTCCTTAGGTAGGTTTATTCCTAGGTAGAGAGATAGGTAGGTTTATTCCTAGGTATTCTTTTTGTTGCAAACGTAAATGAGATTGTTTTCTCAATTTCTCTTTCTGATCTTTCATCGTTAATGTATAGGAATGCTCATTCCTTTTAAAAGCAAAAGATTGTGTTAGGTCCTAGAAGAAATCAGAAGTCTGTCTATGGCTTACAAGTCTAGGGTTTCTTCCATCAGTAAAATTGATTTGTAAAACGAGTGCAAATATACAAAATAGTTTGTATTAAAGTACAAACTGACAACAACTTAATAGTCAAAATTTTTTTTCATGCAAGGGTGAGGAAATTCAAAGAAGTGGGGCAAGGGAAAACATGACACAAATAACAGAAAATTGTCTAGAAATGAACCTTCCCATATAAAAACTGAGCAGATGCTCCATGGTTCTGTTACCTGCATTAATGCTACAGCATTAGAATGACATAATTGCCAATAAATAATCATCATCAATTCTGACTATATAATTTACCTTTATAAACACTTTCCTATGAAACTTCTATATTTTATTAGTATGATCTTGTTTATATCTTTTAGTTAATAAGGAAAAACTACTACTATTGTCTCCACTTAGTAGATTTTTCCTAAGATGAGAGGAATAAAATAAATATTGGAGTGTAATGGAGTAATTAATTCACTAGGTCACTAGTAGAATTTGATCCCACAGTTTTAACATCTAATTGGGTACTCTGTTAAGGACAAGATAATGTATCTATTTGTTCAGGGTCCTAGGGAAATAGATAAAATGAAAATGTCACATTATATTGTTGATTTTCATCATCATCAATACACACATTTTTAAGTGCACCCATATCATCAATGTTTTCCTAGGAGGTAAACCAAGTCAGTGAAACTGATAGGCTCCCCTTTATTATCTGCAATGCTCTAAATGTAAACACACAGATACTGATGCTAACAAGTTAATTACAGTTACTATTAATAAATTACCTCTTCTAAGGCATTCCACAGTTCATTATCCGTATGCTCATTAAAGGGATCCAGATTCTTCCTCATTGTTCCAGCGAATAAAACAGGTTCCTAAATACCCCAAAATAGTGAATGTTAGTACCTTAACCTCTTTTCATTTTATTCCAATGTGTACAGAATATCAAAAGTAAAATACAAAAACATCTAAATTCATTAATTATTAATAATAAAGTTGCAAATGTATGTTTACAAAACAATATCTCTAAAATAATTTTCCATTGTACAAAGTGTGCTACAAAATATCTTCTGGACTACTGAACACTAACAGAAGAAAGCGCTGAAGAAGTTTTTTCACCTTAAGGAAAAAACTGAAGACAAAGGAAGATTTGATTAAAAAAAAAATACTATCCTGGTAATAAATATCTGCTTAAATGCACATACAAACTGAGGAAATAATTACATGAGAAACTTAGTGTGACTAGGAAATACCAACAGCATGATTAGTAGAGGTTTGTGCCTCAAAGCAAACCATTAAATATTTACACATTAGCACTGAAGAATAAATGAGGCTATTTTTTCCATTGGTCAGACTGTCTTCCAGGATCTGGAATCTCTCCACATGTGTGGAATGAACATGTGCAAGGGGAACGTCAGCTCCTGGGGCCTGCAGCACCTCCGTCCATGGAGAGATCACCTCTGATTTTGGCATCAGCTGGTCCCCATGTTCTCTCACCTCTGTGTCAGGATGACCTGCCTCATAGCACTTCATTATTAACTGCAAGGCCAGGAGGACCTGAAACCCACTGTGACCTGTGTCATGATACTTTAATTTAAATAGTTCTTCCTATTCATCTGCTTCAGGAGGAGGCACAAGTAAATTACTCTGGAAATATATGCCTCCTCTTGGCTTCAAGAGATAATCCTGTACATAAGCTCATGTAGGCCATTTACATTTTCTTCTGGAAGGTTCAGTAAGCCAGTTCATAAGAATATGGGCAGAAGAGAAGAGACCAACAGGCTCCTTTCAGAGAAGGGGCAGAACAAGGGAATGCACTCATGTGGGAACAAGAGGAGACCTGACTCTTCCACAAGTGCCCAGAACTGCTCAGAATCACCACATTCAAATCCTGCCTGGCCTTGGGGCTGGACTTTCCTCCTCACTTCACAAAAGCCTGAGAAGAAAGATAAAAATAGACAGGCATTTCTTTTCCCTAATCGTGAGGAAGAATGATACTCAGGAAGCCTTCCAAACCTTCCTTCAATATGGTCTCAGTTTTAAGTCTGGTGAGAGAGAAATGAATACAGAAAACTCAGGGTGTGCCACCAAAAAGAGATATCCCTGTGCAAATCCACAATTAAAAAGACATTATTAAGGGAGATTTATTCACACAAAGTTGATTAAATTGCCAATATGCTTCCAAAGCACCGAAAACCACTCAGTTCAGTCAGTTCAGTATTTCAGTTGTGTCCGACTCTTTGCGACCCCATGACTCACAGCACGCCAGACCTCCCTGTCCATCACCAACTCCCAGAGTTTACTCAAACTCATGCCCATCGAGTCAGTGATGCCATCCAGCCATCTCATCCTCTGTTGCCCCTTCTCCTCCTGCCCCCAATCCCTCCAAGCAACAGGGTCTTTTCCAATGAGTCAACTCTTCACATGAGGTGGCCAAAGTACTGGAGTTTCAGCTTCAGCATCAGTCCTTCCAATGAACACCCAGGACTGTAGTCATACAATATTTCAGAATGAGTACTGAACTGAAATAAAAAAAGCTCGAGACCCAAATTTAAGGTCTCCCGTAAAACTCTTGAATTTAGGGTCAAAGACTAAACAACCATTTAAACAATGGTAAGCGTCCCGTGTCAGGGGAATAACCATCACTCTACTTCAGATTTTTATAAAAACTTATTACTCTTTGTAATTATCAACCTTAAGATTCCCATATCCAGGTGATTTCTCATCCTTCAGCTGTCTCCATGAGGTTTACACAAGCGACGTAGCCAGGCGAGGGGAGACTGATACCCAATATTCTTCCTCCTTCCCTTCTCCATCTTCCCTCCATTTTCCTTCAAGTAAGCAGGCTATTCCCTGCATATAATCTCAATTGGTGTTCTTTCTGGGGACATATTTAACTACTTCAGATCCAGAGCACAAAGAACACACATACTTCAGCTTCCTGTTGTGTTTAAGGAAATTATGTAAGAAGAATTTTCATTGTTGCTTATTCCTGAAATTTTGAACACAAGTTGAGGAGTACCTTCTTAAGAACACAGTATTCATCTTTGAAAGTTCCCCCCAGGACTGATGGTCTATGTCCCCACTCCCTGTCTCTGCTCCTACCCAGGCCCTTGTCACCATCACATCTCCCCTAGTTCTGACCTGTTCATGGGGGGTCAGCTGTGATGAGGATGAGCCTGGGAGAAAGAGAGACTATGATGGAAGCTCCGTGCTGCTTCCAGGATCACAGGGACAGGGATCCAGGGAAGATGGTGTGAGCCTGGCTCACCTAAGAGAGGCAACTCAAAGAAACAGCACTGGGCTCCCCCTCTGCAGAGTCTGCTCTTAGCTTCCTAAGTTCCCTACAATGGGGTGTTGAGACACAAGCATCACTGCTTCCTACTCATTTAGGGGGAAGAGGAGTGTAAGTTTTTGCACTTAGACAAGTAAATTCAAGTAACCAAACTAACAGATTTTCTCCACCTCTGCAACTAGCAAGACACTGTAAAGACAAATGGCTCTTGGTTGGGGAGGGATAACATTTTGAGTATCTTCTCCTGACACATATCAGCCCATGACATACAAGTGCATAAACCCACTTCTAAACTGATACTGTCCAAATGAGGGACAGAGCAATAGGAGTAGCATCTTCTGGCTTTGCCACATACTTATCCACTCTTGCTATGGTTTGGGGAGTCCTTTCAAGTGGGGTGGTAAGAAAAATGGGGAAAATATCTGATGAGTACAACACAGCTGAAGAATTGATGCTTTTGAACTGTGGTGTTGGAGAAGACACTTGAGTCCCTTGGACTGCGAGGAGATCCAATCCGTCCATCATAAGGGAGATCAGTCCTGGGTGTTCATTGGAAGGACTGATTTGAGGATGAAGCTCTAATACTTTGCCACCTCATGTGAAGAGTTGACTCATTGGGAAAGACCCTGATGCTGGGAAGGACTGGGGGCAGGAGGAGAAGGGGACGACAGAGAATGAGATGGCTGGATGGCATCACTGACTCGATGGACATGAGTCCAGGAAAGCTCCAGGAGTTGGCAATGGACAGGTAGGCCTAGCGTGCTGCTACTCATAGAGTCACAAAGAGTCAGGCATGACTGAGCAACTGAACTGAACTGAACTGACTAGACAGACCTTTGTTGGCAAAGTAATGTCTCTGATTTTTAATATGCTATCTAGGTTGGTCATAACTTTCCTTCCAAGAAGTAAGCGTCTTTTAATTTCATGGCTGCAATCACCATCTACAGTGATTTTGGAGCCCCAAAATATGAAGTCTGACCCTGTTTCCACTGTCTCCCCATCTTTTTCCCATGAAATGATGGAACCAGATGCCATGATCTTAGTTTTCTGAATGCTGAGCTTTAAGCCAACTTTTTCACTCTCCTCTTTCACGTTCTTCAAGAGGCTTTTTAGTTCCTCTTCACTTTCTGCCATAATGGTGGTGTCATTTGCATATCTGAGATTATTGATATTTCTCCCGGCAATCTTGATTCCAGCTTGTGCTTATTCCAGCCCAGCATTTCTCATGATGTACTCTGCATATAAGTTAAATAAGCAGGGTGACAATAAACAGCCTTGATGTACTCCTTTACCTATTTGGAACCAGTCTGTTGTTCCATGCCCAGCTCTAAGTGTTGTTTCCTCACCTGCCTACAGGTATATCAAGAGGCAGGACAGGTGGGCCGGTATTCCCATCTCTTTCAGAATTTTCCACAGTTTATGGTGATCTACACAGTCAAAGGCTTTGGCATAGTCAATAAAGCAGAAATAGATGTTTTTCTGGAACTCTCTTGCTTTTTTGATGATCCAGCAGATGTTGGCAATTTGATCTCTGGTTCCTCTGCCTTTTCTAAAACCAGCTTGAACATCTGGAAGTTCACAGCTCACATATTGCTGAAGTCTGGCTTAGAGAATTTTGAGCATTACCTTGTTAGTGTGTGGGATGAGTGCAATTGTGTGGAAGTTTGAGCATTTTTTGGCATTGCCTTTTTTTGGGATTGAAATGAAAACTGACCTTTTGCAGTCCCATGGCCATTGCTGAGTTTTCCAATTTCACTGTCATAATGAGTGCAGCACTTTCACAGCATCATCTTCTAGGATTTGAAATAGCTCAACTGGAATTCCATCACCTCCACTAGTTTTGTTTGTAGGGATGGTTCCTAAGGCCCACTTGACTTCACATTCCAGGATGTCTGACTCTAGGTGAGTGATCACACCATCATGATTATCTAGGTCATGAAGATCTTTTTTGTACAATTCTTCTGTGTATTCTTGCCACCTTGTCTTAATATCTTCTGCTTCTGTTAATTCCATACCATTTCTGTCCTTTATTGTGCCCATCTTTGTATGAAAAATTCCCTTGGTATCTCTAATTTTCTTGAAGAAATCTCTAGTCTTTCCCATTCTATTGTTTTCCTCTATTTCTTTGCATTGATCACTGAGGAAGACTTTCTTATCCCTACTTGCTATTCTTTGGAACTCTGCATTCGGTATATCTTTCCTTTTCTCCTTTGCCTTTTGCTTCTCTTCTTTTCATAGCTGTTTACTACTCTAGGTACCTCCTGTTAGTAGAATCGTATAGTATTTGTCCTTTGTAAATGACTTATCTCACTTAGCTTAATTTTCTCAAGGTTCATCTGTATTGTAGCATGTGTCAGAATTTTCTTCTTTTTTAAGGCTGAGTAATATTCTACTGTATGTATATGCACCTCATTTTGCTTGTTGATTCATCTGTCAATGAACCCTTGGGTGTATCCACCTTTTTGCTGTTGAGAATAATGCTGCTATAACATGCATGTTAAAGCATCTCCTCAAGACTTTTCTGCCAATTCTTTTCAGTTTACACTCTAAAGTAGAATTGCTAGGTCATATGATAATTCCATCTTTAACTTTTCAGAGCAACCAACAAGTTGATTTCCATAGTGGCCTCACTATTTTACATTCCTATCAGCACTGAACAAGGATTCTAATTTCTCCACATCTTGTCAACACTTAATCATTTTCTTTTTTTCTCTCTCTTTTCTTTGATAGCAGACATCTTAAGGGGTGTGAGGTGGCATTTCACTAGAGTCTGAAAAGAATAGCTTGATTTTAAAAGTACTTAGAGTAATTCCAGGTATTTTAGAGGTCATGGATAGGTAAAAACAACTGTACCCAAGTCTACATTCACTTTCCCTTTGGGTGCCATGTTGTACATACTTCCTGATAAACAGGTATTTCAGGACATATTACCCCCACATTCCAGGAAGCACACTTGCCTGGCTCATTCTGTCTCATCTCCTCTATGTTTCTCATCTCAAGAGGGTATTTTTCTGAGCTTCCTTTGATGGGCAGATGATTACTAAGTATATAAATAAAAACTCAATTTAAAAAAATCAGCAAGTCTGTCAAAGCAAAGGGCAGGATCATAGATGAGGACACAGGATCGAGGTTTCCCTTGGCTATATACCTGGAGAATAGTAATTTCTCAGTAAATATCATGGAATTATGTTGAGTGAATGAACCCAAGGAAAGACAGGAGTGTCTATCATGCATATATTGCAGTCTCCAAAACTTCCTGAAAGTTATACTACTTTCCAAAGAAGAAGAAAAGAGAACAGAATCAGAGCCCGGGAAGAGATGGCCAACTCAACACCACCATCACATCAGGCACATATGGGTCTACATGAAGTACTTCACACTCATTGACGTATTTTGTCCTCACAACAGATTGAGGGGGTGATATTGTTATCTGCCTTGTAAGGCAGATAAATCCAAGGTACACAGAGACAGAATTCTGAGTCCCCTGCTCTTCTTCACTATTCTGTATTGCCTCTCTGGTTAAAATTATTCATTAATGGCTAAATTAATGAAAGTCTCCCCAAAGCATCTATATATTCCATAATTCTCAAAGCCCCAAAATTTCACGGAAAGTTCTCCAAGGTGATAATCACTTTTGAAAAGATGTCCTCATTTCCCACAGCAAAATTACATCTGTAAGACACTTGTTAATAAAATTCATGTTTCCTATAGGAACCTCTCCAGCTCTAAACAAACCATTTATCCTGTTCTCAGAATTATGTGATTATCAGTGGATAAAACTGTGGAAACTGAGGAAGTCTGAGTCCAGAAATCTATCTCAGTAAGTTATTAAATCACATGCACACAAAACTAACAAATGAACAACAACAACAACAAAAACCTAGCATCCAATAAAAGTGTCTATTGAAAATACCTACTGCTAAAAATATGCTCTATTGTGGAAAAAAGGTTCAACTCGTTCACTTAACTTGAAAAGACCAATCAAATTAAAAGCACTTAAACTTTAGATACCTTATAAAAAGAACATGTGAGAGTGCTCTGCTGTACATACCTGAGGTGCAATTGACATTTTCTTCCTTAAATCGTGAAGCCCAATACTAGTTGTCAAGATGTCATCAATGTAAATGTCACCTTTAGGTTCTGACAATCTAAAAAGGGCAGCAATGACAGAACTTTTTCCAGCTCCTGTTCTTCCCATGATGCCAAACTGTAAAGAGACCCAGAGGGATGAAGAGTTAACAGGATATACAAAACCCAGGAGAAACCTGACTGTTGAAGGTGAATTTTTAAAATTCTATTATATTTAAAGAATAGTCTATAAGTTTCTCAAGCAAGGCCCTGCTGACGTTTTCAACCAATAATCCATTATTGAGGGTCGGGGACCTGTCCTGTATATTGTAGAATGATTAACAGTAGCCATGAACCAACTAGATACCAGATGGACCCCCCAAAATTGGGCAACCAAAAATGACAGAAATTCACAAATGTCCCTGATTGAGACCACCATCATCCCAAGAATACACAATATAAATTATAGTGACTTCCATGCCTTCTAAAAATATCAGGCAATTTTATTCAAATTTCCCTGAATTAATGCTTAATATGCAGAAAATTGTTTGCTTTCTATAATTATCACATAGTATCTATTATGTGGTATGTTAAAGGGGGAGACACATATGTGTATGTGGTGTATATGTGTGTGTGTGTGTGTCTATACCTAACAATCGTAAATAAAGGAAGAAGATGACTTAAAAAACATAACCTGACTGCAGTGAAAAACCAGCAGTCTCCTAAGTGGTCCATAAGAAGTCAGCTTTAAATTAGTTTTATTCCTACTCCGTGTGTAATTTGACCTTGAGAATTACATGGGTAATTTTACAGAGATATCAACAAGTCAAGTCAGAAGTATTATACACAAACAAGTACTCACTTTCTCAGGGATATGTTCTTTATTTAAGAGGAATTATTCTTCGGTAGAAAAATTAAGTCACTTCCTGATATTAAATATCTTAATTATATTCTACCTTGAAAGGAAACATCTTCAAATATAAAATGCAGGTCTCAGTCTTGAAAGACAGAGGTCAGTAGATAAAATAATGACCTCTAAAATAATGCATAATGAGATCAACAACAACACAAACAACATTTGCTATTTACATGGGACCTTTTATCGGAGCATAAAAGGCATCTTATTAATACATTAATACTTACAATTGAACCTTGGAAAAACACGTCAAGTGTCAGTCTAGTTATTAAAACCAAAGCAGAGAGAAGTTAAATGCACTAACAGGAAGACTAAAGAATCAATACAATGTATGTAAAATGCTGTTGTTTGGTGGTTTAGTAGCTAAGTCATGTCCGACTTTTGTGACCGCATGGACTGTAGCCTGACAGACTCCTTGGTCCATGGGATTCTCCAGGCAAGAATACTGGAGTGGGATGCCATTTCCTTCTCCTAGGTAAAATGCTGGTGGGGAATAAAACCACATTCAAATATATATGCAGAAACTGGCCTTTTTTACCAATAAATTTTTAAGTGGAAAAAGTCAATCAGTCATGTCCAACTTTGTGACCCCATGGACTGTAGATTGCCAGGCTCCTCTGTCCATGGAATTCTCCAGACAAGAATACTAGAGTGGGTTGCCATTTCCTACTCCAGGGGGTCTTCCTGACCCAGGGGTGGAACCTGGGTCTCCTGCCTTGCAGGCAGATTCTTTAGTATGAGCCACCAGGGAGGCCCAACTGCAAATTCTCAGAAGGAAGCTTCCCAAGAGATGATTTCATCTCTATTTAAAACCTGGAACTGATGAGAGTGTAAGATAGGCTTGGATCATTTGTAAAGCAGAAAGTTTTAAAACTCATGGTTTTAAGAAAGAACTACTAAGGCTTTCTGAGCAATATAATCAGAATGCTTAGAACTTTTCATGTTTTCTGATTTGAATACCTCTAAAGTTTCACATCTTAATCTGTCACATCAATCATGGCATTTCAAAAAAGAATTTATCTTTATTGAGATTAAACGTATGAATGGTATGTTTAGCTAATTTTATTATCTTATAAAGATAATACAATAAGACATTTTGTTGTTGTTCAGTAGTGCCCCACTCTTTGTGACCCCAAGGACTGCAGCATGCCAGGTTTCCCTGTTCTTCACTGTCTTCTGGAGTTTGCTCTAATTCATGTCCATTGAATCAGTGATGTCACCCAACCATCTCATTCTCTGTCATCCGCTTCTCCTGCCTTCAGTCTTTCCCAGCATCAGGTCTTTTTAAATGAGGTGGTTCTTTGTGTCAGGTGGCTAAAGTATTGGAGCTTCAGCATCAGTTCTTCCAATGAATATTCAGGACTGATATCCTTTAGGATTGATTGGTCCGATTTCCTTGCTGTTCAAGGGATTCTCAAAAGTCTGCTCCAGAACCCCAGTTTAAAAGCATCAATTCTTCAGTACTCAGCCTTCTTTATCACCCAAATCTTACATCTATACATGACTACTGGAAAAAACATAGCTTGACTATATGCACCTTTGTCAGCAAAGTAATGTCTTTGCTTTTCAATATGCTGTCTAGGTTTGTCATAGTTTTTCTTCCAAGGAGCAAGTGTCTTCTAATTTCATGACTGCAGTCACCATCCACAGAGGTTTTGGAGCCTAAGAAAATAAAGTCTATCCCTGTTTCCCCATCTATTTGACATCAAGTTGATGGAACCAGATACCATGATCTTAGTTTTTAGCATGTTGAGTTTTAAGCCAGCTTTTTCACTCTCCTCTTTCACCTTCATCAAGAGGCTCTTTAGTTCCTCTTTGCTTTCTGCCATTTGGGTGGTATCATCTGCTTATTTGAGGTTACTGATATTTCTCCTGACAGTCTTGATTCCAGCTTGTGCTTCATCCAGCCCAGCATTTCACATGCTGTATGCTGCATGTAAGTTGAATAAGCAGGGTAATGATATATACCCTTGAAGTACTCCTTTCCCAATTTTGAACCAGTCTGTTGCTCCATGTCTGGTTCTAACTGTTGTTTCTTGATCTGCATACAAGCTTCTCAGGACATTTTGTACCTTACCTTTAACCCTAAGTCATATAATATAGACGGGCCATTCTCTGCATACAGGCAGGTTGTAGTATGTATATATGTGGCTCAAGTGTTCTGTGCACAGGCAGGCCTCAAAGATATTTTGGATTTGGCTCCAGACCACCTCAACAATGTAAATATCAAAATACAGCAAGTTATATGACTTTTTCACTTCTCTGTGCAAATAAAAGTTATGTTTATACTATATTGTAGTCTAATGATGTATAGTAGCATTATATAAAAAAAAGTACATACCTTAATTTCCAATACTTTATTGCTAAAAAAATTCTAACCATCTGAGCATTTATAGGGTAGTAACATTAAAAACCACTGATCACAGATGAGAATAATAAATACCATAATAGTGAAATGGTTTTAAATATCACAAGAATTATCAAAATGTGACAGAGACATGAAGTGAGCAAATGCTATAGGAAAAAATGGTGCCAGTGTATTTGCCTGACACAGAGTTGCCATAAATGTGCAATTTGTTTTTTGGTGTTTTTTTTTTTTTAAGCATAATCTGTAAAGCACAGTAAAACAGGTCCTATATTTCTGAGTGTTCTCATATGTAAATCTACACACAACAGGACACAGGTGAGCGAGAACTGATCTGTGAGAATGTGTATGTTCCCATGCTATCAGCTCCACTGAAATTAATCCATCTGTGCAAAGAGGAACATTTGTAAACTTTGGGTAAATGGACTGAGATATGTAGGTGCACTGAGGACTACTCATGACCACAGGACTGTGAGTTCCAAACTCTAGAAAAGAGAACTAAAAAACCAGGGGACTTCCCTGGCATTCCAGTGGTTAAGATTCTTGCTTCTACTGCAGGAGGCATGGATTCAATCCCTGTCCAGGGAACTAAGATCCCACAAGCCACACGGCCCCAGGCGTTCCCCCCGCCCCCCCCCCCCCCCCCCCCAAAAAAGAAAAAGGCAACTCAAAGAAAACCTGACTCTGATAATTCCTAGAGTTCAGTCATCAAAGCTATAGTCTGAATGTCTTTTCTGGGGTAAAACCAAAGGGTTTTTCCAATTGCACATGGAGAGTGTCACCAGTATCAGTAAGCTTACATTCTTCAATCTAAAGACACTTGGGAGGCTTCCCTGGTTGCTCATTGGTAAAGAATCTGCCTGCCAATGCAGGAGACAAGGGTTCAATCCCTAGTCCAGGAGAATCCCACATGCTGCAAGGCAACTAAGCCTGTGTGCCACAACTATTGAGCCTGTGCTCTAGAACCCGGGAACCACAACTATTCAGCCTATGTGCCACAACTAATGAAGCCTTCGCACTCTACAGCTCGTGCTCTTAACAAGAGAAGACACTACAGTGAGAAGCCCACACGCAGCAACCAGAGAAAAGCCCAAGTAGCAACAGAGACTCAGAACAGCCAAAAATAAATAAGTAAAATTATAAAGACACTTGAAGAAAATCTGTTATTTGCTTTGCAATGGCCCCTTTCTGTTTTTCCAACCAGGTTGGTCTCTGATGATGACACAACTTATTAGACACTTGCATCTGGATCTCTCTTCACATATCAAACAACATAATCAACACTCAGTGCACCACACAAAACAACCTCTTCAGCCATCTTCCCCAGTTACTCTCATTACATTTTTCCCAGGCTCACAGTTTTTCTTTTCTTTTTTTAGGGTTAATACACCTTTTTAATTTTAAATATTTTTAAGGTTTAAAAATTGCTTAAAGTTTTAGATTTCTAGTAGGAAAACATTATCTGAATGAATACCCTAATGGCAAACCGCTTTAAAATGTTTTCAGTTGCATTTGGGACAAAGCAGTAGGGATTATCTTCAAAGCACCCCAGCTTTCTTCATGAAAAGGTCAGAGGTACACTGGTTTGTATTATTGCAACATCCATTAGGTAATCTAAGTTGCTTTTCCTCCAGCAGGGCTTTATGTCAGAAGGGCATTATGCTTGACCTCCAAATTTGGCCGACAATTTACTGATGAGATTCATAACCTTTGGGTTGCTCTGATATTTTGACATATTTGCTGGGTTCTGCGCCACATCCTGGAAGGCCACCATAACTTCTGGATCCTGCATGGCTGCAAGGACCTCTGGATCACTAAGAATTTCATTGAGCCCAGGCATTCCCGGCATTCCAAGCAT